AGGAAGAAAAGGAAGGAAGGGAGAGAGGGAGGGAAAGAGGGAGGGAGGAAGGAAGGAAGGAAGGAAGGAAGGCAGGCTTATTAAGCACTTACCATGTTCCAAACACAGGACCAAATAGGATAAAATAATGCATACAAAGGTTTGCTTTTAAAACTCATCCAGCTCATCTAGCCATTCCAAAGGGCTATATAAATGTTATTTTCACTGCTCTAAGCGCTAGGGATACAAATACAAAAAAATGAGAAAGTGGTTATCCTCAAGGATCTTCTATTCTAACAATATTCTTAGGCCTGCAGCTGAATGTTTCCTGCATTCCCACTCTCTGTATGTCCCTCCTTTGAAGCCACTGAAGAGTCTAGGAGTAAGGTAACCCTTCCTCCTACAATGCCAGAAGAAAGGGACCAGATCTGAGTTTCAGAGCCAATCTTTTCAGGCCTCTAGAACAAGAGCTGGAATTAGGTCCCTAGGGAGGAGTGAACCCCAAACTTTAAAGTGAAGCCCATGTGGCCAGATGATGGTTTTATTCCTTATTCCTGGTGACTAGCAGATTCTATCCTTTCTCAGTGGGCCAGAACCAGAGCTGGACATTTCCAGTAGAATGGAAGTGATGAGGTCTAGAGGTTTAGGGGTGCTGGGACCCCAATATCACAACATGCAGGCCCTGCCTGAATGAATTCAACCCAAATCTTCTTTCAGCCAGAGAAAAAGTTTATTAGAGATAAACCATATAGGCCAGGTGACACCTGTAAGGATGAGTGGGCATGAGAAAGTCTCAGTGTTTAAACGGGGGGCCAGGGTGGATCTGAGATACACTAAAGTAACTTTGGGTAACCAGAGGAGGGGCTAGGATAAGGGTCTAGGTGGCTTAGGGAGAATTCTGATAGGAAAGTCTGAGAGATTGAATAAACAATGGGAATAGATAATGAAGGGTACTGGAAGGAAGAAGTTTGAAAGGCATCTGAATAAGATCAAAAGGTGAGGCCACAGCTTTCAAAAGAAGATAAGGAGAGACAAAAAGGAACTATTTGAGACCAGAATAAAGAAAGTTTAAGAGTTTTCTGGGGCCCTAGACAAATGGGAGCCAGATTCTTTTTGGGGCAAGGGGCAAAGGTATCAGCTTGGGCCCATACCCCATCAGAAGCTTTTTTGAGGGCCAAGACTACTTTTTTGTTTCGTTTTTGTATCCCAAGCTCCTAGCATGGTACCTTACACATACATGATAAATATTTAATCCATACTTTTTGGATTGGATGAACTTCAATGCCAGAAAGCAATAAGGCACCAATCAATCTGTGGGAAAAAGTCCCACGCTTTTTTTTTTTTTTTCTGGAAGGGCTGGAGCACCAAGAAAGGTTTGCTGCTACCTAGACAAAATGGCATGGGAATTTGCTTGCCTATTTGGTGGGAGTTAGGTTACGGGGATCAAATTTACCTTTATTCCCATAGACAGAGGCAGGCACCTCCTGGCCATCCATGGTCTGCCTCCACTAGGAGCCTATGGGATCAGATGGGGTTGGGGTTGTCTACTCATCCTGGGCTTTGCTGCCTCTTTCAATCAATCAGCCCATCTCTAGTGAGCATTTGCTGTAGGCAAGGTACTTTAATGTGTGTTTTCCATGCAAAGAGCAAGATCTGGTTCCAGCTAACAAAAGTCTCCAGGTCAGATGAGGAAACAAGACAAAACACACATGAAGAGCTGAAATTTGTACACTAAAGTACCGAACGAGTGAATGAATTATTGAAAAAAAATTATGAAGCACTTACTATGTGCGAGGCACTGTGCTAAATGATGGAAAGACAAAGACTAGAAAAGAGATGTCCCCTGTCCTCAGGGGGCTTACATTCTAATAAGACTGGTTTTTAAACTGGAGGTCCATAGCCCCATAAGTGGTCTGTGAATAGATTTCAAGGAGTTCATGACCTTGGGTGGGGGGAAGAACCACAATCTTTATTTACACTAACTTCTAGATGAAAATTAGCATTTTCTTCAATTATGAACACAGACAAAAAAACGTCATTCTAAGAAAGGCTCCTAGCCTTTAGCATAAAGGTCAGGAACCCCTGAAATAGAAGACATAACACAGGGGTGGCGTGAGGAGGAAAATGTGTTTTCTGGGTATGTGAGAAGAGTTGGGGAGAGAGAGTGGGGGACAGGTAGTCATATCAAGAGATGACCAGTATGGATGGCTGGAAGGAAATATGGCAAGGGGCAGCCAGTAGATAGAGTGTGCTAAATGAGTGCTATTAAGGGAATGGAGATCCACCTAGTATGGACCAGTACAAGGAGGCTTTCTGGAGGAGGTGGAACTTAAGCTGCGTCTTGAAAGTTGGATAAGATTTAGAGAGGTTGAGAAAAGTGGAGAGGGTGTTCTGGTGGTGAGCGAAAGTGAGGAGGTGGGAAAGTTTTTGACACATACAGGGGCTCAGTAAGCAGACCAGCCTGGCTGGTACAAAGGGTTTGAAGGGGATGGGAGAAGATAAAGTTTGAGGGTAGCCCAAAAGATCTGCATTGTAGATGAAGGGATTTGGGGGGGAGAGGGACTGGGGAGCCGGAGGGGACTATCTGTGACTTTACTCTCCTCTACTCTTACCTCTCCCATCACTCTCTCTTCCTTCCTTCTGCTTGGTTCAGGAGGAACCCTCTGGTCTCATCTCCTCTCTCAGCCTAGACCCCAGGGGCTAGAGGCGTCCAGCAACTCAACCCAGCCAAAGCCCAGCTCTATCCAGGGTGATCATCGAGAGAAGGGGAAAGCTGGCCCTGGTGCCCCTGATACTGGTCTCAGTCTCCTGACTCCGGTTCCGTTTCCCCAGAATCACACCCAACAGCTCAGCGTGGCAACTGAGGCAGCACTCCAGCCCTCTGACATTTCATCAGGGCCTCAAGGCAGAGTTCCTGACCATCAGAAAGGGTTAAAGGATTTGAAAGAGCCTGACCTGAACCCTGGAAGCAAGGTATTCAGTCCAGCCAGGGAAATCCAGGTGTTCAGGTCCCACGGAGTATCATCCTGTGAAGATGCTTTTGGAAGACACAAATTCAGGACAGATCTTCGTTCCTCTGGACAGGACACTCTGGCCTCACCTTCTGGCCTAGTTCCAAAGGCCCTAAGAAGGGACAAGGCAATGGCCAGCAGCCCGGGTCGGGGCAGAGGTCAGTCCCATCATCAAGCCAGGCGGAGTACTAGGTGGAGTACCAACAGGGGGCCCCTGGGAGGTCTCCCCTGGATCCGGGAGGGGGCAGGCCGGGTACTAGAGGGCTATGGTCATGGGACTGACCAGTGCAAAGAGCTCCCAGGTCAGGACTGTCCACATGCTAACTGGGCCTGTCCAGGCCACAGGGGCAGAGCCTGGTGTGTGAAGGAAGAACACGTCAAGCAATGGGCAGCGGAGACCCTGGTGGCCCTTGAGGGTCTACATCAACAGGGTGTGCTATGCCGGGACCTCAACCCCAGGAACTTGCTGCTGGATACCACTGGTAGGCACTCCTTTGTCTGGGAGGGAGAGAGGTTAGTGGGTAAAATCGCCCTGTTAAGTGGCTGAACCCCACCACCACCACCATCCTAGATGGCTACTCAGATGGGAGGGTAGTTATCCTTCAACTCAAAATCCTGTGACAAGGAGGCGGTGGTTCCCAGGGTGAAGGTCAGCCAGCCCACCCCTCCCCTACACCCTTTTCCCAAGCAAGTGACTCCCTTCATCCATCTTAGACTTTGTACTGGCAGGAGCTCAGTTGCCCAAAGACAGCTTGTAAGAATTTTCCTCTGCACTCCACCAGGGATTTCTAGGGGTCCCAAAGACCCTTTTGAGGGGCAGTAAAAATTATTTCATAATACTGAGAAGTTTTAATTTCTAATATGGTAGCTATCAGTAGATATAATCCACATAAACAAAAGCTCTTTGTGGGGAGGTGGGGGAATCCTCAATTTTTATGAACATAAAGGCCAAAAAGTTTGTGAATTGCTGTTCTGGGACAATTAAATGTCATTTTTGTACTTGGAAATACTGAAGGGATTTTTAGCCCTTGCCCTTCATAGGGCAGGAATAATGATGATGATAATATTTATATGGCACTTAAATTACATAATCGTTATCTTCTATGATCCTTACAGCAACTCCAGGAGGCAGGTGCTATTATTATCTTCATTTTACAGATGAGGAAACTGAGTCTGAGAGAGCTTAAGTGACTTGCCTGGGGTCATCTAGCTAGTAAGTAGGTGAGGTAGGATTTGAACTCAGGTCTTCTGTATTTCAAGCCTAATACTCAAGGCATTGCCCCAACTAAGTGCCTGCTCAGGAATGACTGAGAGGTCATTGGCTCATAAATTTAGAGCTAGAAGAGAGCTCAAAGGCTTTCTACTCCAATCTCCTCATGTAAAGATGAGGAAACTGAGACCTGGAGAGGTTAAATGACTGAAATTTGAACCCTGGTCTTCTGACTCTTTGATCCTTCTATTGTATCACATTACCCAACTGACCCACTGGTTTCCCTATTAAAAAAAAAAGTCACAGATGAAGGCATCCGTGACCCCAGCTGGAGATGCGTTCATTCATTGTAACTCACATTTATATAGTACTTTGATTTACAAGGTGTTCTCTGTCCTCCCCTTCTCAAGAGTCCTGAAAAAGAGGTAGTGTTAAGGATGCCTCTCCCCATTTTACAGATGCAGAAATGAAAGTGCAGAGAGATTAAGTTATTTGTCCATACTCACAGACAGCTAGGAAATGGTGGGGGTGGGATGCAAATCCAGGTCTCCTCACTCCAAATCCAGTGATTTTCCCCACTGTATCATGCTGCAGTTCCTAATGATCTTAACTGGTCTCTCTCCCTCTCCTTCCCTCCCTCCTTCCTTTCCTTCCCTCCCTCCCTTCATTCCTCTCTCTATTCCTTTCTTCCTCCCTTCATTCCTCCCTCTATTCCTTTCTTCCTCCCTTCCTCCTTTCCTCTCTTCCTTCTGTCCTCCCTCCCTTCATTCCTTTTTTCCTCCTTCCCTCCCTTCCCTTCATTACTTCCCTCTATTCCTTTCTTCCTCCCTTCCTCCTTTCCTCTCTTCCTTCTGTCCTCCCTCCCTTCATTCCTTTTTTCCTCCTTCCCTCCCTTCCCTTCATTCCTTCCTTCCTCCCTTCCTTTATTTTCCTCCCTCCCTTTCTTCCCTCCATTCCTTTCTTGCTTTCTTCTTTCCTCCCTCCCTCTCTTCATCCCTTTTTTCCTCCCTTTCTTCCTTCCTCCCTCCCTTCCTTCCTTGCTCCCCCTGAACCCCACCCTTCCTTTCTCCCCTCCTCCTCACTCAATTACCAACCCTCCCATCTTCCATTTTGCTCCAATGCTGGGGATACAGGTCACATCCGTCTCACCTACTTTGGCCAGTGGACTGAAGTGGAGCCCCGGTACTGCAGTGAAGCTATGGAAAACCTGTACAGTGCCCCAGGCAAGAAGATAGACTGGCCACCTTCACCAGGCCCCTCTGAATTAGTCTAGGGAACTGGGGAGAGGGGACCTGGAAGAAGGGGAACTTGAATTTCCACAAGAGGCAGATCACCCTGCTATGATATCTTTGAGAGCCTCTCCAAAAGCTCCATGGGAACAGTAATCCCTCCACTAAAGCATCACCTTTGTCCATCTCTCTCTCTCCACTTTGGCAAGGCTGAAGAGACTGGGCACCTAGGAGTGGCCAGAGGGATGGGGAAGAGGGTGGGCTGGGGATGGGGGTGACAGAGGGGATGAGTGCTAATGGGCGAGGTCAGTGGGCTACGAAACGTAGACCTTGGAAGCCCAGGTGTAAAGGCATTCTCTTGCCCCTGCAGAGGTGGGCGGGATTTCTGAGCTGACAGAAGCTTGTGATTGGTGGAGTTTTGGATCTCTGCTGTATGAACTTCTAACTGGAATGGTAAGTTCAGCCCCATATGAAAAGAGCTTTGGAAGTGAGGTGAGAAGGGATAGGACTGGTGCTGGGAGGGCACAGCAAGCCCAGCATGAATTTCATTGCTTTTGCAGAGACTGGGCCTTCAAGGCCTCGGAATGCTAATAGGATCATACATTTAAAACTGAAAGCGACCTTTGAAATAATTTGCTCCAACTTGTAACCTCATTTCTTTTCTTTTCTTTTTTTTTTTTGAGTTACTATAATGATAGATGAAAGGAATGCTGTAGATATAATTTAATTAGATTTTAGCAAAACACTTGACAAAAGTGTCTCATGCTATCCTTGTGGAAAAGATGAAAAGATGTGAGCTAGACAAGAGTACAGTCTGATTCTACAGATAATACCTTTTTGAAGAGAGAGCTCCAAAGAGTAGCCACTACTAGTGCAATGTCAATGGGTCAGCTGGGTGGTACAGTGGATAGGATTTGGAGTCAAGAAGACCCGAGTTCTAATCCTGTCTTAGATACTTGCCAGCAGTGTGATCCTGGGCAAGTGCTTAACCTCTCTGCCTTAGTCTCCTCTTCTGAAAAATGGGGATAATAATAGCACCTACCTCCTCCCAGGGTTGTTATGAAGATCAAATAAGTTACCATATGTAAAGTGTTTTTACAAAGTTTAAAGAGTTATTTAAATATTGTTGTTGTTGTTATTATTACTAGAGAAGGGATCAAGCATTTATGAAGTGCCTACTATATGCCAGGCAGTATGCTAAGAAGGACCTTGGAGATCCCTTCTAATGCCTAATATTCTGTGATTCTATGCACTGTATTATTCTTAGTAACCTACTTCTTTTTTTTTTTTTGGAGGCAATTGGGGTTAAGTGAGCCTGGGTGCTCTGTCCACTGCACCACCTAGCTGCTTCACCAGAACAGCTGCCTTCCTGTTTTTACCTTTACTCCTTGGGGTTTGCTGAAATGTGGCCCTTGGTTCCAGGGTGAAGCTATTCTTTGTGCAGCCATCTAACCTCTGACCTGGTGGCTCTCTAATCTACCTGAATTCCTTCTAATACCTCTTTACTGGACCTTAAAATCTCTTTTTATTACCTAGACAAATTTTCCTCTACAGCCAATAATAGTAATAGCTAGCATTTCTATAGTGCTTTAAGGTTTGCAAAGAGCTTTACGAATATTATCTCATTTGACCTTCACAATAACCCTGGGAAGCAAGTACTATTGATATCCCCATTGGAGTTACCCAGAGTCACACAGCTATTAAGTATCACAGGTTGGATTTGAACTCAGGTCCTCATGATTCCAGGGCCAGTGTTCTATGCACTGTGCCCCTGAGCTGTCCCTAGAACCTGAATTCTAATTCTGGCTCTGTTTTATTTATGACTTGTGAGATCTTGGGCAAGTCCTTTAGTTTCAGAGGCAAATGAGTTTACTCATTTGTAAAGAAAGGGTAGAGGGGTGGGCTAGATGACCTCTAAGGTCTCTCCTAGCACTGGACCTAGAATCACCTCCCAACAGACCCAATTAGACTTCACATCTCTGCCCTTTCGGTCAAGGCTCTCTCTCCCATGCCTTTCTAGTGTGTCAATCAATTATAACAGTAACATTTCTACAGTCCATTAAAATAAAAATTAAAGATCATTCTGTTTGTAGTGAAATCTTTATAGTCCACAAAAAATTGGAGGAGGAAAGAGGGTGGGAGAAGCCATCCAATGCCACCATGAGACTTTTTAGAACATCAATTCTTTTTTTTTATTATTATTGTTGTTGTAGGGCAATGGGGGTTTAAGTGACTTGCCCAGGGTCACACAGCTAGTAAAGTGTTATGTGTCTGAGGTCACATTTGAACTCAGGTCCTCCTGGATACAGGGCTGGTGCTCTATCCACTGCACCACCTCGCTGCCCCCGACACCATGAGACTTTTTTCTTGGTTTGCTGGACTGACATTAGTCTAACCCTGCCCATGATGAATAAAAATCTCTATGGTTTGGGAAAAAATAACCCTCAAAGGGCAAAAACTTTAGTCCCACAAGGATTTTAGGAATTTACTCCTGTCCACCTTTTTTCTGGGGTTTCCTCTTTTAAAGCCCCTCATCCACCTTCTTTCTCCCCAGTCGCTGTCCCAGAACCACCCCTCAGGAATCCATGTGCACACCAGGCTCCATCTGCCTGAGTGGCTCAGTCGACCAGCTACATCCCTGCTCACTGAGGTACGTGCCATCTTAGTTAGGGAGAACCGGTAGAAATAACACACAGGAAGATGGGGGTGGACACAGGGATGGAAGGGAAGAAGCTTTTCTACAGACAAGCCAGGACTTGAAGCTTGTTGTCCTCAACTGGGCACCTAGGTGGCATAGTGTCTAGAGTTTGAGACTTGGAGTGAGTCTCAGACCTGCCTCAGACACTTATTTTCTAGGTGACCTTGAGGAAATCATGCAAGCTGTCCCAGTCACAATTTCCTCATCCATAATATTGGGATAATAATAGTATCAACCTCACGGTGTTACTGTGAGGATCAAATGAGATAACATATGTAAAGCACTATGCCAACCTGTGCTATATAAATGTTATTACTACTACTACTACCACCACCACCACCACTACTACTACCACTACTACCACTACCACCACCACCACTACTATTACCACTACTACCACTACTACCACCACCACCACTACTACCACTACCATTACTACAATGACAATGATGACTATTACTGTTACTACTACTACTACTACTACTACTAGTACTACCACACCACCACTACTACACTACCACTACCACCACCACTATTACCACTACTACCACTACCACCACCACCACCACTACTACTACCACTACCATTACTACAATGACAATGATGACTATTACTGTTACTACTACTACTACTACCACCACCACCACTACTACTACCACCACCACCACTACCACTATATCACTGCTACTGCTCCTACTAGGTGGTGGGGTATGAAAGGATAGATCTGGGATTTCTCAGGGAGATTCCAGATGTTCTTAGAATCCAGATGGCAGGAAAGATTTGTGATTTTATTGGCCAAACAGCCTGGTAACTGGAATGGAGCCAGTGTAATAGAAAAAGGCTGTTGCCTCAGCAGGGTATTAGAAGAAAATTCACTGACCTGATTTCTCATCCCCTGTTTCCTGGGAGATGTTTACTAGGTCAAAGATAGTGAGAAAAAGAAGAAAATCAGGCAGAGTACCTGGCAGCCCTGCATATCTGAAAGGGGAGGAGGGACCTTCCATTCCTCGTCCCCAGATCCTATAGAGGGCCTGGAGTTTCCATAGGTTCTCACTGGACACACTCAGAGCCCCAGTGCCCATGAAATGAGGGGAGGCGAGAGCAGGCAGAGATGAAGAGATGATGAAGATGGGCTCCAGGCACTAGAGGGGGTGGGCATCTGACTGATTCCTGCCTTTTCCTCTTCAGCTGTTACAGTTCGATCCCTGCCGGCGCCTTGGTGCTGGAGGAGGCGGCGTCAACAAGCTCAAATCCCACCCGTTTTTCAGCACCATCCAGTGGAACAAATTGGTGGGATAGGGTCAATGGCACGGAGGCGGACAGCCTCCTGGGAAGACCCAGGTTGGCTTTCTGGGCTAGCAGAGTCCACAGGAGAACTCGAGTCCAATGGGTCCAAGGCGCTGGCCTGAAACCCTGGGATTCCTCCTGCCACCAAGTAGTCAACGATTTTGGTGGAGGAGATGAATCCTGAATCCTGCATCCTGGAGGAGCACAGGCTCAGGTCTCTCTTCCATGCCTTTGACTCCCCCTCCGCTGTGAGTTTGTTTCACTCAAGGCCATGGCTACTCATTTCCCATTTCTCACTCCTACCCCAAAATGAACCCAGGCATGATAAGAGAGACCCACAGGGAACCTTGAAGTTGGAAAATACTGAAACTAATCTAACCTCTGCCACTTAGTGGGTGTGACATTGGGCAACTCACCACACTTCTCGAGCCTCAGTTTCCTCATCTGTAAAACAGTAATAATTGCCTTGCCTACCTCATAGGGTTATCATGAGGCTCAAAGGAGATTTGTGGGAAAGTGTTTTGTAACTGCACATCATTATATAAACATAAGCGATTATGACAGTACACAAGGTGATTGTATTTCCAATTAGCCAAAGCAGAGGGGGGGCAGTGAGGACTTGAGTGTTCGAAGGGTTCCTCAAGTCAAAATTTCCCTGCTCAAATCTCACAGACCTAGAGGGTGCCTTTCTCTGAAGTTACTTAGCTTTGTGCTCTGGAGTGCAGAGTTGTTGATAAACTGTTAAAATAGTGCAGAACTAGTAATAGACCAGGTTGCCATCTTCAGCTGAGATGTCGTAGTTCACCAAATGACCTACCATATTTCACAGGTGTAATGGGAACCTTAGGAGTGAGACCATCCCAGCCGAGGAATTTCTTGGAAAGCCCCGCTGAGGTACTTATCCACTGGCACAGGTTGTTAGAAGACAGGACCAGTGTTTTCCCAAAGTAGGCAGTGATAGTAGACTAGAAAAATGAGTCTATGAGGGGCTTGGTGGGGAAAAGACAAAAAACAAAAAACCGACAAACCCTGGAATGATGCTTTTCCTTCCACTCCAGGCTCCCAATGCTGGCCTCCATGGTCCTAGTTCAGGCTTTGCAATCTTGAAACAAGTAGGAGAGCGGATGAGAAAAGAGATCAGGAGGAAGGGTTGTGGGGTGGATACACCAGAAGGCCCTGCGCTACTGTGAAAATGTGACACAAATGGTGCTGAGAGCCCTGGCCAGTAGCCTCCCTTACTTAATTCTCTCCCTCCCCTGGCACTGGGTCTCCACCCACCCAAGGCAGAGGAAAAGGAAGGGAGGGGAAAACGAAGCGCTCCCTGGCAAAGTGTGCTCTGCAACTGTGGGATTTGTTTCTTTGAGGGGACACAAGTTTGGTTTCCTGATTCCTACCAGTATCCCAAATGACAGGCAGTACCCAGTACCCAGAGCAGATAGCCTAGTTTGGGGGGCAGGGGGGTAGTTGATGGACTTGGGTTCAAATCTTGGCTCTAAGCAATAGGGTGAAGTGACTTGCTCAGGGTCACACAGCTAGTGTGTCTGAGAACATATTTGAACTCAGGTCTTCCTGAATCTAAGGCTGGTGCTCTAACCACTGTGCCATCTAGCTGACCTCGGGTTCTTCCTCTAGGGAAATGAGGGGGCTCTAAGTCCCCAAGTAAGTTATTTGTCCTTCCCATGTGATTCTGCATCCTGGTCTTGAGGTTCAAACTGATTTAAACCTGTTGTTTTAGCTAAGGCCAGGAGATGATGGGAGTCAGGTCTTTGAGGTCTAGGGATGGAGGGACAGGACCTCAAACACATCTCTTCTGCCCCAAGGGCACTTCACCCAGACACCTCCAGACAACAGCTCTATACTTAATTCCTGGTGTGGTATGAACAGCCAGCGTCTGTCCGAGTCTAACACTCAGATAAGTTATCTAGGATATTACTCAGGCAGCCTCCAGGGCACAGGACATAGGACAGCCTGGCCTATCCATGATTGTGGCCCACACCCACCCCCTGAAACATGACTGCCACCCTTCCCCTCCAAATGTACCTTCCCAAATAAAACTTGTAGTTCTGCAAGTGTCTTATTCATACAATGATCTTCCTAACAGGGGAAACTGGGGAAGGAGCCCCAGAATCAAACTCCATGGGGAAGGGAAAAGCTTCCACATACTATGGGTGAGTGTTCTCAGCTCCCTGGGGATGACAGGGTAGTAATTCACAAGAACTAGGATGTGCAAAAACAACTCTCCGGCTTGCCTGATACGCTTTAGCATAAGGATGGTCTGGGATACTTCATTCTAGAGTTGAGCTCCAAACACAGAGGAAGCAAGTAAGTGCCAAGGGTCTTGGATTTGAGAGCCGGGGTTCAAATTCTGGCTCTGCTTACCACGTGTGATCTCTGGGTCTTTCTTCTCACTTTACACTTGACTACATGATCTCTAGGTTCCCTCTGGCTCTAATTTCCTGAGATCCCAAAAGACTCATGAGAAGTAAAAACGGGTGAAGAAGCCTGGAAACTGCAGGCTTGAAGGACATTATTCTTCTTTCAAATCAATGGCCCTAGAGGTAGCTAACCACAGTCAGTGGCATGTAATCCAGCAAAGTCGAGTGTGTGTGTGGTGTCTTCCCCTTTGAGGACAAGTGTGTTAACTTGGGGGCTGTCCTGAATGACAGTTGGGGAGGCCCACTTAGCCAAAATGAACATTGCTGAATGTTACGTGGAATTTCAAGTTTGAAGCTCCTTTCTTCTATGAGCAGCCAGTAGCATAGCTCTGCCTTCTGGCCAATCTCAGTATTGTAGTTAACTTACTCCAAAGGCATCAGGAGAAAAGTGGAAAAAAAAAAAGACAGAATAGGCTGTGACCCTAAGGGCTAATGGTCCTTTTAAAAACTAGTAACCTTGCCTTTTCTGTGTAAACAGGAGGCCAGAAGCCAAGACACAGTTTGAGAACATTTCCCCTTTAATTTCATTTAAAATTGGTTTCTTTAAATATTTTAATTACAAGTTCTGTATATTGGAGATAGAGTAGTAGACACTGCAGGCACTCAGTACTGGATTCCGCCCTCCTCACCCCTCTCATGCTGGGCCCTATGGTTCCAGCAGCCTCAGAACTAGGTATAGTTGGATACATATTGATGGATTTCCAGTAGCCCTCACAATAGCAAGTATACACTGATACATTTCCCAAGGGACCCCAATGATTTTGCCCACCAACACTGGGCAGTACTGTAAAGATGATTCCAGACATTTCATTATCTTACACTAACAACTCACAGCTGGCTTCTCACTAAGGTGGAGAACTTTAAGAAGTATACTATCCTCATCTCGGCCCTGTGTTGACACATGGAGGAGCCAATATTGCTTCCTCTCTCCTGCCAGCCCACAATCCAAGACCAGAACTGGTCATGCTTAGAGCCCTCATCTGTCCACATACAGCAGAAAGACCAATCTGAACTTCAAATATAAGTTCAGAAAAACAACAGGCAGCAACATTTTACTAGAGACCTTCCATCCCTCTCAACCAAATTCTACCTCCACTGGTTCCGAGGCCCAGCTGTTCCACTTCTGCCCAAGAATGAAGATGCTTCTAAATGCAACCCCTTTGCTGGTATGATTGCTAGGAACTCATAAAGAAAGGCAGGGGAGCACAGCAGGACTGTGCATGGTTGTGCAGAGACGGGCCTTTCTGGGGATAAGACCCATGGTCTAAGTGCAAAACTGATGCACTCTCACCTCTGGAGACAAGAGTATCTCAACCTGAAGTCTTTTGAGCCAGCTCCCCCCCCCCCCCCCCCAACGTCAGGCCACCTGGGCTGTGCTTCCCAAAGAGGTAGAAGAGGCATTTTAAAGCCAACCAAGGCTACCTAAGCAGGAAGGTGCCCTTTAATAAACAAAGCAGCACCTCTCCCCTTGTATTTGAGTAAAGAAACTGCACAGGGCCCAGAGTTGGAAAGATCAGAGCCAGGGCGATAGCTTCATAATGCTGGGGGCCAGGATCTTCCTCCTGCACCACTGAGGATGTTGCATTTTTGAAAACTGGTCAGGTGTAAGACAGAGGAGCTACAATCTATCTAGTGGTTTTTCTATTATATGCTGCCATAGTGAAAAAGCAAAATCATCTCTGGGGAGGATGCATGGAAGAAAGGCTAAGATATTAACGAGGCTCCATCAATACTCTCTCTCTCCCTCCCCTTTGAGCATAATAAGGAAGTAAGAACATTCGTGTTAAGACAAAGGCCGTGGAGAGAGGAACAGGAATGTCCTAAAAGGAGCTGCAGCTGCTGGTTACCTAGTGCTCTGGCTTCCCTTAAGCCAGCAGCACATGGGGCTGTCTCCCACCCAGCTGACCCAGGTACATATGAGGAAGTAGGGGAAGACTGGTTTTCAGTCTCTGTGAGTCGGAGCTTTAGGGAATATGATTTTCCCTAAAGGTCAAGTAGCAGGACACGAGGATCCTCCACTGCCGCCTTGATTTTTCGAAGGAAAGTCACTGCCTCTCTGCCATCAATCAGTCGGTGGTCATAAGTCAATGCTACGTACATCATGGGCCGCACTTCCACCTACAGAGAAGAGACAGAGGGACAATCTTTTCTGTACTGTATGGGGGCATGAGGAAGAAACAGACAAGAAGACCCAGTTCTAATGGCAATGCCCTCCAGAATTTTCCTTTCTGTGCTCTTTGGGCTCTTCCTACATTAAGTCTGGCCCCTAAGATGGGAAACCTCACTCAATGACAATGTTCTTTGACAAAGAACATTTAAATCTTCATACACTCTTCTCTCCCCTAGGAACCATTCCTGCAGGCCAGAGGAGACTTCTGCAGCCCAGAGGAGACTTCTGCAGCCAGGGAATCCTGAATGTTATCCTTAACATATCCTTAATGTAATCCTTAAGGTTATCTTCTTACTCATCTCAGAGCACCCTTAGACACACACTGTCTCCTTTCCCTTCCACCTAACCAAACCTCACCCACATTTCAAGGCCCAGTTCATGATCTACCTCCTCCATTAAGCTTTCCCCAATCTACAACAGCACCCAATAATCTTCCATAGCACACTTTTATCAAATCATTTTGGCTTTTAGAGGTTCCCAATTTCAAGTTCTTATCTCTCAACTAGACTGTAAGTAACCTCCTTGTGAGAAGGGACTCTGTCCATTTCCATACCTCCATAGTGCCTCGAGGCCACAGGTTCTCCACTCATGGAGAACATTACTAAGTACAGAGTAAGATTCAAATACCTTTTGGCTGATCTCAGATGAAGGAGCATAACTTCTCCCATAGTTCTTGGAACCACGCAGGGACTGTGGTGAAGTTGCTACAAAGCTCTATCAGTACAGCTGAACTAGAGAGAGGCTGATTTGTCTCTAAATCAGGTTCTACCAAACAAGTCACACCCTGCAACTAGTCTTTATGATACAGGACAAGCGATATCACCACAAAACCTCACATTGTAGCAGTTCCTACCTTGCCTCCAATAGCAACAGGCCTATCAAAAATGGCGTGCATGCCCAGAATGGCTGACTGAGGGGGGTTGATGATTGGGGTCCCAAAGAGGGAGCCAAAGACTCCTCCATTACTGATTGTGAAAGTGCCACCATCCATATCTTCTATGGCAAGCTCATTCTTTCGGGCCTGAAAAAGACAAATTTCAAAACTGATTTAGACTGTACCTCTTCACAAGCTGAACAAATAAAACCTGAGTCCTTGTTTTACTGGGGGATTCAATCATGTTCTAATCAGACACTGAGGACCTGGTTCAATTTCTAAGTTTTTCAACTGAAATGGTCTTAAAAAGCTTCTCTTAAAGTAGAGGCTCAGAATGAAGAGTTTCACCTAAAAGTTCAAACTAAAATGACACCCCATGACATGGGACTCTTCTGCCTTTGCACCCCACCCCCCTCCCCTTTCACTCTATCTTCAAGTCACCAGAAAGACTTTGGCTTTGGTTCCTGGTCTTACCAATGAACCTAAGTCGGGCAAAGGCTGGTGGTGGGGATCTTCAGCTTTTGCTGCCCTCCCTCTTAACTTTCCCAGTAATCTGTGTTTTCATTTCTTTATTAAATTTTACCTTCTCTCCCAGCTCATTTATGGTTCGTTCGATGTCTGCAAAATTCATAGTTTCCACATTCCTAATAACTGGTACCACAAGTCCCTGTAGGGAGTAAAGCACTGGTTTACAGGGTGAATAAAAATGTATTCTTTGTACTTATTGACCTTTATATAACACCTTTCCTTTGAGGAGCTGGAGGTATTTTTATAATGGTAATTCATGAAAACTACTGGAAAAAACTTTTAGAGATAGGAAAATAAGACAACTGTCCAAATGAGTGACGGATCAGAATTCTTAATCTAGTTCCACCGATTCCAAAGAGGCTAACACTTTCCCTTAAAAGATGCACTGTTTCACTATCATCCACAGCATATGGAAATTCAGAACGGTAGGAAGATCTGGCCTGATACAAAAAGGTGGAATCTAAACAAGGTCAGTATAGGTTTCTCTTATACG